CAGGTTGAGGATGTGGAACTGCATTTTGTTATCCAACAAAACAGTCTGCCGAGTCGCTAAACTGTGCATCAGCCCAGCTCTGCCATTGTTCATCATACAGCCTTACCTGAGTAAAGGATACAGTATTATTTGAAAGGAATTTCTGAACTTCTTATCAGAAAATAATGCTGTTCAGGATTTTAAAGATTAAAATTAACCTCATATTCCACATTCCTGGGCCCCAGTTGTTAATGGTTCTATTATTTTCACCTCATACCAAGGGTGACCTACTCAATCAAACTTACTGCCAGCTTAACACCTCAACACGAAAAGAAATTTCAGACAATTAAAGGGACTGACACTGTCAGCTTTGCCAGCTAAAGAAAGGGTCCTGAAATGAAATATGGTCTCTTTCAGGAATTTTCAAATCAGCATTCTTTTTCTCAGAGTAAAGTACACCTACAGGCATATTCTAGCACAAACTAATTTTCAAGTTTACCATTTTCAGGATTTAGTATCTTAAGAATTTTGGGATATTGTTATCTAGATGTAGGCATGTGAGGACATAAGGATCAAATAGCAATCTTTTATACTTGCTTACAATTATTTATTGTAAGAATCAATTTTAGATTACATTATAGGAATGAATACTGTATCACAGAATATACACTGCTGAAAGACAATCACCATATATGGACTGTAACTATTACAGAAATGGAAATATTCAAAGCCGTATTTGCTTAATGCCGTGTGGCAATTAGATGGTCAACAGTTGTTTTACAATACTCTTCTACTTCAAATTTATAGACAATGTTAAGCCCACTGTTGTCTAATTCCTCCTTAAAACAAGTTAGACAACTCCAAACTGAATGTTATGAAAGAAATTGCCCAGGTGTCCCACAATACTGAAACGAACAAATCATTACGAACACAAACTGGTACCAATGCAAAATTGTCCCAACTTTATTAACAAGTTACAATTTGTCATAAGTAAGTTTAATATTAAACATACTATCTCTAATCCTATTTGACCCCTTAAGCTTACAATATTTCTGAGTCTCTTGTAGATTTACGCAGTTGCTCTGTCTCTGGGTCTGTGAAGCTGTTTTCTCTCTTCTCTCTCACTCTCTCTGTCAATGGTCTCTTGCCATGCTGATCTCCTCGGAAGGCCTCCAGAAGATTCCAGAGAGATTGGTCTGCAGGCGAACCTTGTTTTTGTACCTCTTTGGATGGTTTTCTGGAATTTTCTATTGTCTGACTGATCAGGGAGACATAGTTAATAGTTTGAAACATTATCAATCATTTGGATAGCTTGCTGCTGTATTTTTTTGTGTGTAGCAGGATACTTTTCTGTCTGGGCCGTCCTTTATTTTGTGGATAAGTTGATGAGAGTATGTCTGTCCACAATATCTGTTGTCTTTTAAATTATGCTAATGTTATGAGCATCCAGCTGCTGTTTTGCACTGTGCCTGGTGTGTGAGTTTCGTGACTTCAGAGTTTTAACTTGGCCAATGTACCCAGCATCCCTTGCTGTTTGGTCAAGTTGGCAATCTGCGTTTTAGCAGCCAGGAGGCTGCTCCATCACCCTAAAAAAGGTTATTTGTAAATCAGTCAAGTACACTTTAAAGAAAGTATGCTCATACTTCAGTATAATTCCTTTGGGAGTTTTTGTTTTGGCCTTGAAGTGGAAAGGTTGGTGGTAAACTTGACCTATTTGTGTCCTACGACGGCTGGTGTGTGTGTGCGCGCGTGCATGTCTGTATCTGTGTGTCAGATTCTTCTTAAGACTTCAGTGTCTTTCTGTCAATTTTGAACAGCCTCTCATTGCTCAATGTATATCTACAAAAGTTTTTTTTGTTTCCTTTTGCAACTTTTTGTACAACTGTATAACTGTTCCCTATGAATGCTGTGGTTTACTGCTACTTGTTTGTTTCTTGTCTCCTGGTAGGTCTTTGACTATTTTCCGACAGTCAGATGTCGAATGTCCATGCTTCTTTCTGTACAAGATTTTCCCACTAGTTTCCTGGCACTTAAAAATATTAAATGCAATATTTGATTATTTCCCTTAATTTCTTTTAATTAGTGCCTTAATTTCGTCCTTAGTTGGTCACTTCCTTTAGAGGTCAGGGAGTTGGCATGATAGTTGTTTTGTACTGAAAAAGCAACTTCCATACATCATTTCAGATACAGGTTCCAAACCAGAAGATGTGATTGCTATTCTGGCAGGGACTGAGGTGGTAAAATTCTACTCAGTGGTTTCATTTGGCTCATCGTTTAGTTGAAATAAATTTCTGCTTTTCCAGAACTGTTGGATAATGAAAAGGCAGAATCAATTGGATATGGGATGTTGCTCAAGAGAGGGAGAAAGAATCACAGTGTTAGGGTGCAGGAGGCCAGTCAGTCCATTCAATGTGCTTTGGCTCTCTGCATTTTAACTCAGTGCCAAGTTCCTGCCATTTTCAATAGAAACAATGTGCAGGGTAACATGGAATAATCATCCAATGCCCTCTTGAATGCTTCAGTTGATCCTAGTTGTACCACCTTTCCATACCTTAGCTTAAGATGAGTTCCAGAACTTGCTGGAAAATGCCCAGTTGTTCGCGGGTTGGGAAAGGATGCCCCAGATCAGGTGATGGGAGGGGGTGTGCTCATCTTTGATCTGATGTTGTTTTGTTCCCCCAGGCAAAATGAGCAACTTCATTTTCCCACATTATACTCTGTTTGTAAACTTATTGCCCACTTATTTAACCTATCAATATCTCTGTAAACTGTATTGCTCTCACAAACTGCTTTTCGACCTATTTTCGAAAAAGAACCCCTTATCCCCACATGCTGTTTCCTGCCCATTAGCCAATTCTTTATCCAAGCCAGTATACTACATCCAACACTGTGGGCTCTTATGACTTAGGCTTTCATGAAGTAACTTGTCCAATGCCTTCTGAAAGTCCAAATACAACACATCTATCCCTTCTGGTTGAGATTTCTTCAAAAACATGGAATAAATTAGTCAGACACAATTTCCCATTCATGAAACCATGCTGACCCTACTTGAATAGATTATGATTTTCTAAATTACTCCCGTAATTGATTCCAACAATAGATTTAAGCTAATCACCCTGTAGTTATTTGCTTTTTGCTTCCCTGCCTTTTTGAAAAGGGATGTCACATTAGAAGTTTTCCACTCCTCTCATGATTTTCCAAAAATCCTTCGATTTTGGAAAAGTATGACCAACACACGCACTCTCTCAGTAGCTACCTCTTTTAGGATCCTCGGATGCAAACCATCAGGAAGGGCCAGGGGCCTTAGCGTCCTTTAGCCCCATTAGTTTGTCAAATACTACTTCTCTCGTGATGGTGATGGTAATTAATTCCTCCCCAGTATGGTAGTATTAATTGAATCAGAGATAGTAGGAACTGCAGATGCTGGTGAATCCGAGACAACAAGGTGCAGGGCTGGATGAACACAGCAGGCCAAGCAGCATCATAGGAGCAGAAAGGCTGACGTTTCGGGCCTAGACCCTTTATCAGAAAAGGGGGAGGGGAAAGGGGTTCTGAAATAAATAGGGAGAGAGTGGGAGGGGGATAGAAGATGGATAGAGGAGAGGAGACAAACAGGAGATGGAGCCAGTAAAGGTGAGTGTAGGTGGGGAGTTAGGGAGGGGATAGGTCAGTCCAGGGAGGATGGACAGGTCAAGGGGGTGGGATGAGGTTAGTCGGTAGGAGATGGGGGTGCGGCTTGAGGTGGGAGGAGGGGATAGGTGGGAGGAAGAACAGGTTAGGGAGGCAGGGACAAGCTGGACTGGTTTTGGGATGCGTTAGGGGGAGGGGAGATTTTGAAACTTGTGAAATCCACATTGATACCATTGGGCTGCAGGGTTCCCAAGCGGAATATGATTTGCTATTCCTGCAACCTTCGGGTGGCATCGTTGTGGCACTGCAGGAGGCCCAGGATGGACATGTCGTCTGAGGAATGGGAGGGGGAGTTGAAATGGTTTGCGACTGGGAGGTGCAGTTGTTTATTGTGAACCGAGCGTAGGTGTTCTGCAAAGCGGTCCCCGAGCCTCCGCTTGGTTTCCCCGATGTACAGGAAGCCACACCGGGTACAGCGGATGCAGTATACCACATTGGCGGATGTGCAGGTGAACATCTGCTTGATGTGAAAAGTCTTCTTGGGGCCTGGGATGGGGGTGAGGGAGGAGGTGTGGGGGCAGGTGTAGCACTTCCTGCGGTTGCAGGGAAAAGTGCCGGGTGTGGTGGGGCTGGAGGGGAGTGTGGAGCGGACAAGGGAGTCACGGAGAGAGTGGTCCCTCCGGAAAGCAGATAAGGGTGGGGAGGGAAAGATGTCTTTGGTGGTGGGGTTGCATTGCAGATGGCGGAAGTGTCGGAGGATGATGCGTTGGATCCGGAGGTTGGTGGGGTGGTACGTGAGGACGAGGGGGATTCTTTTTTGGTTCTTATTGCGTGGACGGGGTGTGAGGGATGAGTTGTGGGAGATGTGGGAAACACGGTTGAGGGCGTTCTCGACCACTGAGGGGGGGAAGTTACGGTCCTTGAAAAACGAGGACAACTGAGATTTACGGGAGTGGAATGCCTCATCCTGGGAGCAGATGCGGTGGAGGCGAAGGAATTGGGAATAGGGGATAGCATTTTTGCAGAAGTGTGGGTGGGAGGAGGTGTATTGTAGGTAGCTGTGGGAGTCGGTGGGCTTGAAATGAATGTCGGTTTCTAGGTGGTTGCCCGATATGGAGACAGAGAGGTCCAGGAAGGGGAGAGAGGTATTAGAGATGGTCCAGGTGAACTTAAGGTTGGGGTGGAAGGTGTTGGTGAAGTGGATGAACTGTTCGAGTTCCTCGTGGGAGCACGAGGCGGCGCCGATACACCCCAACCTTAACATCCTTGGTTAGTCATGGTTGGTTTATGCCTCTCTCAGAAGTCTCACTTCCTGACTGTGATTTTTTTTTACTGAGCCACCAATGACCTCCTCTCCTGTCTGCCAAGCGCTGGCTGTTCTGGGTGTGGGAATGAATGGGGTTGTGTCCCGGATCTGATGTCGGGCTGTGATTGGTGATCGGGGGTGGAGATACTGTGACGTCTAGTCGGGCTCCTGTCACCAGGGAGACGGCGGTGGCGGCCGAGAGGCTGGTGAGTGAGGTCCGGGGCCTGGGCCTATGGCTCGAGGGGGCGGGGGTCTCTGTTACCTCTTTCCCCCTTGCGATCGTCTCCGGCTTCGGGCTGTTTCTGCTCGTTTGTTCGAGCTGAAGGTCAGCTTCGGCATGGAGCTGGGGATCAGGCTCAGTCCCGCCCGCTTTGTTTTGAATGTGTTTATATTATTTTTGGGGCGGGGGGACTCGGTACGTTGTGGAGTTGATGGACGGCTGAACTATTTCACCAGTCATCATTGCACAATGGTCTCATGTTTCATTCTCGGGGTGGAATGGGCACAAGCAGAATTGATCAGATAGAATTTGTCGGAGTGACTGCTTTAAAAAAACACATGCTTCACTTTCCCTCTGTTGATATTGCTGCGGGTTATTCCATCAATTTCCCGTTTCTGTTTGCTCTGTACCTTCGCTGCTGAACTTAGGGTCGCGCTGCTATCCCGTAATAAAGTTTCAGAAAGGATTCGGAATCGAACTTCTAAACTAAAACCAACCATGTATTAAAGTGAATTTACGAATGGTTTTAAATGTGGGGAGCAAGGAAGTTTCAAGCCTGCACGTTAAATTCCCATATTTATGTAGCTCACTCAGTTCAGCTTGCACGATCGAAAAGCGATCAACTGTTTGATTTGGAGGAGTCATAATGTTATTATGAAAGGTTTAAGTTGCACCGAAAATACTCCTGTTTTGGTCCCATCACATAATCTACCATTATACAGTTGTGATGACGGTTTTAGAGGGATGACCATTGGATTTACACCTGCAAACTCCTCATCTAGACATAATAGTCCAGGACAGGAAATGGTTAGATTATCTCTCATGGGAGATGGTCATTGACTGACATTTTTGTGGCATGAATGCCACTTGCCATTTATCAACCCAAGTTTGAATGCTGTCCAGGTCCTGCTGTTTATAGAATGGAATGCTTGAGCACCTATGGAGTTGTGAATGGTACTGTATGGTGTGTCATGAGCAGTGAATATCCCACTTCTGATGGAGGGAAGTAGCTGAAGATGTTTGGGCCTGTGGCACTAGCTCAAGAACTCCTGGTGTGATGTCTGGGATTGAAATAATTGACCTCAAACAGCCGAGACTATTTCACTTGTCCTAGTTATGACTCCAACAGGTGGATAATTTCCCCCCTGATTTCCATTGACTCTAGTTTTGCTGGAACTCCTTGATGCCTTGGGAAAAAGTACACAAGCTAGAACAAAACCAAAAACTCTGGATGCTTGAGATCTGAAACAAATAAAAACAGAACTTGCTGGCAAAACTTAGCAGCATCAGAGTTCATGTTTCAAGTCCAGTGACTCTTCTTTAGAACTCGGGGTCACTAGTCTCGAAATGTTAACTCCATTTCTCTCCACAAATGCATCCAAACGCACCCAAACCTGTAGAGTTTCTCAAGCAATTGCTTTTTTTTTGAAGCATAGATTAGTATCAATAATCAGTATCTGTATTCCTGGAACCTGTATTTGTGCTTTGCAGATGTTGGGTGATTTGTGCATTTCCAATACTTCCTATTTTCCTTTTATTTCAGTTTGTCATTTTTTTCTTTGTACTGCTACTGGTTTTTTTAATTTTGGCAATTTTGTGACTTTTTTTTAGAACTAAGAGTTTGATTTTTTTAAAAACTATATTTTTGTAGCATTTGAACGCAAGTAATAGTGTTTTAATACAATCAATAAAGGTAATAAAATGGCAACACAGAAATTAATTTTAAATAAAGGTTCAGCACTTCCCCTCATATAATCATTGCAGTAACTCATCTAGTATTTGAATACAATTCATTTAAGTTTATTTTACTGTATGACTTGTAGTTGTGAGATGAGGCATCTACTGTATATCGTCTGTTCAATCAATCAATGTGATTAAAAATCTTGACATTAAGGCCATAAGACATAGGAGCAGAAATTAGGCCATTCGGCCCATCGAGTCTGCTCCGCCATTCAATTGTGGCTGATAAGTTCCTCAACCCCATTCTCCTGCTTTCTCCCCATAACCCTTGATCCCTTGATAATCAAGAACCTATCTATCTCAGTCTTAAATGTACTCAATGACCTGGCCTCCACAGCCTTCTGTGGCAGTGAATTCCATAGATTCACCACTCTCTGACTGAAGAAGTTTCTCCTTATCTCCATTCTAAAAGGTCTTCCCTTTACTCTAAGGCTGTGCCCTCGGGTCCTAGACTCTCCTACCAATGGAAGCATCTTCCCAACATCCATTTTGCCCAGGCCATTCGGTATTCTGAAACATTAATTTAATAAATTGTAAAACTGTTGCTACTTATGCCAATATTAGTTCTGATGTCTTTGGCCTTTGAAAACTCATTAAAAAGTAGTTTTTTGAATGAGGAAGACAAATGAAAATACTCAAAGAACCTAAATATATGCACAATGCTAGTCACGCTTGTTGCAGGTGAATACAAGCAGCACTACAGACCTATGCCCATTTGCAGCACACCTTGAAAACCTGGTGATTCCTCTGCCCTAATTGATGGCACTGAGTCCTTTGGGCACCGTCCATGTTTTCATGACCTGAGTAAGCGGGGGGACTAATCTAACCAGACTTGAAAATTAGGATGACTCTCTATAGTGTTTCTGGCCTTTCCCTGGCCTGAACCCAAAATGTGGACCTACATATTCCTTGATGTACTCTTAAAACTGGTAAGCATTTCTGGTCTCGAGACAATTGACAGTTTGATTTGGAGGAGGCACAGTATTGTTGTAAAAGACATAGGTTTCGCTGAAAATACTCCTATTTTGGTTACTTCACATAATTCAGCATTATAATTTGAAAGGAAATGTAACTGGTCTAATTAGCAAGTTTGCTGATGACACAAAAGTTGGTGGAATTGCGGATAATGATGAAGATAGTCAAAGGATGCAGCTGAATATAGATCGGTTGGTGACTTGGGCAGAGAGATGGCAGATGGAGTTTAATCCGGAAAAATGTGAGGTAATGCATTTTAGAAGGTCTAATGCAGCTGGAAAATATACAGTAAATGGCAGAGCCCTTAAGAGTACTGATAGGCAGAGGGATCTGGGTGTACAGGTACATAGGTCACTGAAAGTGGCGACGCAGGTGGAAAAGGTAGTCAACAAGGCATACGGCATGCTTGCCGTTATCGGCCAGGGCATTGAGTTTAAAAATTGGTCAGTAATGTTGCAGCTTTATAGAACCTTATTAGGCCGCATTTGAAATATTGTGTTCAGTTCTGGTTACCACACTACCAGAAGGATGTGGTGGCTTTGGAGAGGGTACAGAAAAGATTTACCAGAATGTTGCCTGGTATGGAGGGCATTAGCTATGGAGGAGAGGTTGGAGAAACTTGGGTTGTTCTCACTAGAACGACAGAAGTTGAGGGGTGACCTGATAGAGGTCTACAAGATTATGACGGGCATGGACAGAGTAGACAATCAGAAGCTTTTTCCCAGGGTGGAAGAGTCAGTTACCAGGGGCCATGAGTTTAAGGTGCGAGGGGCAAGGTTTAAAGATGATGTATGAGGCAAGTATTTTTGCACAGAGGGTGGTGGGTGCCTGGAACTCCCTGCCGGGGGAGGTAGTGGAAGCGGATACTATAGCAATGTTTAAAGGGTGTCTTGACAAATACACAAACAGGGAGGGTAGGGGGTTTTAGTTGTGATGGGCAGGCTTAGAGGGCCGAAGGGCCTGTTCCTGTGCTGTAATTTTCTTTGTTCTATAAAGGCTTGATGATGGTTTCAGAGGGATGACCGTTGGATTTACACTGCAAACTCCTCACATAGACATAATAGCTTTGAAGAGCTAGTTTTTTTTTCTCACTGGACAAGTTGGGGTTTAAAATGTTAAAGTGAATTTGTTCTTGGATGGGGAGCTACTGTACATCAGTAAGATGGGTGAACCAGACCATTTCTTGATTTAGAACATTGGCAGTAGAATGTTGGATGAGCTCAAGCCAATTTAAGAAGGAAAATTGGAAACTAGCCAGGAAAGCATTGGAATAGATATTGAAATAAGGAAACGACGAATGAGGGGTTTAACAGTAGGTCAGCTGAAATTGAAACAGGGCCATATTTGGACAATGTTACGAAGCTGGAAGTGACGAGCTTGGTCATAGAATCATACAGCATGGAAACAGACCCTTCAGTCCTACCAGCCCATGCTGAACGTAATCCCAAACTAAACTAGTCCCACCTGTCTGCTCCTGGCCCATATCCCTCCAAACCTTTCCTATTCATGTACCTATCCAAATGTATGTTAAACATCATAATTGTACCTGCATCCACCACTTCCTCAGGAAATTCATTCCACATGTGAACCACTCTCTGTGTAAAAAATCCGTCCCTCGTGTCTTATTTAAATCTCTCTCATCTCAACTTAAAAATGTGTCCCCTAGTATTGAAATACCCCCATCCTTGGGAAAAGATAACTATCATTAACTCTATCTATGCCTTGTCTTATAAACTTTAATCAGGTCACCTTGCAACCTCATCACTCCAGTGAAAAATGTCCCAGCCTAAGCAGCCTTTCTTAATAACTCACACCTTCCATACCCAGCAACATCCTGGTAAATCTCTTCTGAACCCTGACCAGCTTAATTGTATCCTTCCTATTCTGGGAGACCAGAATTGGACACAGTATTCCAGAAGAGGCCTCACCAATGTCCTGTAAAGCCTCAACATGACGTCCCAACTCCTGTACTCAGCAATGAAGGGAAGTGTGCCAAATGCCTTTTTAACCACCCTCTCTAAATGTGACGCAAACTTCAAAGAATTATGTACCTGCACCCCTAGGTCCCTCTGTTCTACAGCATACCCAAGGCCCTACCATTAATTGTATAAGCCCTACCCTTGTTTGTTGTACCAAAATGCAATACCTCGCATTTATCCAGATTGAATTCCCTCTGCCATTTTTCAGCCCATTGACCCATTTGATCAAGATCCCCCTGTAATCTTAGAAAACCTTCTTCACTGTCTAAAATGCAACCAATTTTAATGTCGT